GATATAAATATGCAAATGTAAAAGAACCTCTAATTGTGCATGAAATTCCAGAGTTACCATTCCAAAAAGTTGCTTCAGACATTTTTGACTTTGGAAGTAAATCATATTTAGTTATTGTTGACTATCTTACAAAGTGGTTAGAAATAATTCCACTAAAAAGTAAACAAAGTAGTGACGTCATTCAAGCATTTAAAAAAGTTTTCGCAACATTTGGTATTCCAGATGTTGTAATCTCAGATAATATGCCTTATTCTTCTTATGAATGTAAACAATTTGCAAAAGACTTTGATTTTATGTTCAAAACTAGTAGCCCCCGTTATCCAAGGTCGAATGGCCTCGCAGAAAGGTTTGTTCAGACAGCCAAGAACATGCTGAAAAAAGGGTGTGACACCTCTCACAGGCCTTAAGAGAACCCCAGCAGAACTGCTGTTTTCGCAAAAGCTAAAAACTAAATTACCTATTGTGGATAGACCTAAATCTCCTATCGGTGATTTTAAAAAATCTTTAGATATTAGAAATCACGCTTCAAAACACTATTATGACAGACATGCTAGGGCAAGAACAGATTTTGGTAATGGAGAAAAGGTTGTATTCCGGAACTATAATAAAGAATGGCAGCCTGCTTCTATAGTGTCTAAGCATGAGTCTCCTCGATCCTACCTTATCAATACAGGGACAAATGTTTTGAGAAGGAATAGCTATGATTTAAGAAAATCAATATCGAATCGTGAAATTGACAATTCCAATGATTTAGATTTAAATAACCCACAACAAAGTTATAATAATAGGCCGAGCACTTCTTTGGAAAGCGGTCAAAGTCAGAGGACAGGAAATATAATTGAAAATATAGTAAGTCCGTTGGCAAATTCGAGTCCAGTCTGTACTTCCCCAGTTAACCATAGAAGTGTCCGACCTACTAGAGCAGCGAAATTGCCGCCAAAGTATAATGACTATGTTGTTTATTAGATTTCTGAAAAATGGCATGTTTTAACTTTAGTTAGATTTCTAGTTTTGTTTTGTTACTGTGTTTTAGTGTATTTATATCATTTTAGTTTAGCTTCTTGGTATAAACATTTACCTTTTGGAATGTTTATCCCTGAAGGGGAAGGTGTTATAAGGTAGACACCTCAATGACGTGTAATGAGTTACCTACCTTATTAATGGTACCTGCATAATTAGCTGGTCTTAATAAGAGGTCTTTTTGAATATGTCAGGCTTGCGAGTCTTGTCAAGATTGTCCCTGAATTATTGTAACTTTAATTAATACATAATTTGTATTCAAGCAAGCCAAGTTTATTTTATTAAATTAGAGGTTAGATATACTCGGATACATATTCGTATAGTAACCTTAAATTAAATCTTTTTAAAATGACTTTATTGTAACTTTATGAAATAAACAAACAGAAAAAGCAAAACTAAAATATATTAACTAACTATTTATTGTTAAATTTTCACCTTTTAGCTTTAAAAAAAAAAAACTTTTTGTGCAACCATCCGCAAAATGAGCTTTCGCGGCCGCCACACAGTCCGCGAAATTCAATTTCGCGGCCGTTGCCCTTGGTGACGGCCGCGAAACTAGATATCAAAACTTGACACTTTGACAACAACAATAAGTAAATTTTATTTCCAAATTCTTCAGAACAACATAAATTATTTAGGATAAATATTAACACTTACATGACAGTTTGCATTATTACTAATATTTACTCCTGAAGCTGAAGCAACTAATAATCCAGTGTTTTTGAATTGAATTCTCAAAACTTCCCATTTCTGCATTAAATTAGCCAATATGTTTTCAGACACAATTATGACGTTTTGTTTGTCACACCAATTTTTTGAACTCGCAGTAACAATTTTCATATTGCCGCTTAGTTTTCCAGGTATTAACTCAGAAATAGCTGATTGAACCATATTTTTTAGCTCTGGAGGAGTGCAAGAGAGTGAAACATCTGTATCGCTGTTGGATATTTTCACGATTTTTTGAGAACCATCAAAATTTTTTGTGTATTTGTTTACTTGCAAATTATATCATCCATGACATCCATAGAAACGCTGTGCCACCATAGCCACCAGGTTATACATCAAACTGGTAATTAGTTCCACATGTTTATTGAAAGGAGTACATTTTTTCTGTATTTCCACATAATTTTCATGGTTGCACAAAAAATAGTGTGTATACCATGACCGCGAAACTTTTTAGCGTCCTCGAGATTATCTTGCCTCGGCCGCAAGCGGCCTCGGCGATAACTTTTCTTTACGTACGCTAAAAGGCACTTCGCGGCCTTGGTATACAAATAACTATTAAAGCACCTCGAAAACACAATGTAAACAAGGAACTGCCATGGACATTTCATGAGTTGTGACGTCACGACCAATCGCGAACCGTTTTCGTCGGAGTTCAAATTTTAATGGCGCGCAGTGAACTTTAAGCCCTTTTTTTGACCGGAATAATTTTTTTCAAGGAAAATTTTTCACTGGGAAGGCTTTAGAAGATCTTAACAAATAGATTTATCATATTTTTTATTAAATCGAAAATGTATGCAAGGGGCCTATAAAAAAAAATATCCGAGATGTTCTTTTAATGAAATTTTCGGTCAAAATTTGGGCGTAACACTTGAAAAATTTGTTTGGGTTTGTTTGGGTTAACTTGATGGGCCATGGGCCTCACCAGTTTGGATTGTCACGAGCCGCCACTGCTTTATCTCTTAGGCAATCAAAGACAAAGAATGAATATTCACACATTATTTAGAATGAGCCATGTAGCTGAAGTTAGCTTCATATTCATATTCAGATTCGTGTATATTACAGTCGACCAGATAATTATTGAAAAGAAAAATTGAAAAACCGCGAAATTGAATAAAACACAATTATTATATTATGCAGGGGATTTCTGGAATTCAAAAATTGTAGAAATGACCCTCAGACACATTCGAAGATATTTTCTCCAGTTAAGTTAGGTCTGGAAAAGTCACTACGGGAAAAAACGATGATTTATTTGAAAATTTGTGGGGAATTTATGATGCCTTGTGGAGATTTTTTAAAATTTGAGGATGATAGAGTTAACCCTTAAGCACAGTAGTTCAGAAGATTTTTTTTATACAGTCAAGTTAAATATGCGAGAGTCACTACGGGGGAAAGTCGATAATTTGTTGGAAAATTCGTGAAACATTAATGATGCTTTGTAGGGATTTTTTGAAGGTTGAGAATGATAGAGTAGACCCTAAAGCAAAGTCCAGAATAGTTTTTTCATTCAAGTTAGGTCTGGGAGATTCGTTACGGGGGGAAGTCGATAATTTATTGGAAAATTCGTCGAAAATTAATGATACTTTGTAGGGATTTTTTGAAGGTTGAGAATGATAGAGTAGAACCTAAACCAGAGTCCAAAATAGTTTTTGCAATCAAGTTAGGTCTGGGAGATTCGTTACCGGAGAAAGTCGATAATTTATTGGAAAATTCGTGAAAAATTAATGGTACTTTGTAGGGATTTTTTGAAGGTTGAGAATGATAGAGTAGACCCTAAAGTAGAGTCCAGAATAGTTTTTGTATTCAAGTTAGGTCTGGGAGATTCGTTACGGGAGGAAGTCGATAATTTATTGGAAAATTCGTGAAAAATCAATGATACTTTGTAGGGATTTTTTGAGGTTTGAGAATGATAGAGTTGACCCTAAAGCAGAGTCCAGAATAGTTTTGGCTTTCAAGTTAGGTCTGGGAGATTCGTTACGGGGGGAAGTCGATAATTTGTTGTAAAATTCGTGAAAAATTAATGATGCTTGGCAGGGAAAACATTTTTCTCGTTTAGTTGGAGGGAGCAGTAGACCCTGCAACCTTACCACATTTATTACATTAATAGGGAGTATTTATATGAGCCCAAATTCAGGTATTTTCCAATTTTCCTCAATAATATTAACTTAGATAGTAAATATGTATTAGAAAATATTATATAAATTAGTAGAAATCACATTAAATCAGACTCATTTAGAGAGAAACAAGAATAATTGCAGCACTTACATTATTAGTTTCACTGCCTTTTCTTATATGTACTACTGCGTATTCTTATATGTATAAAAAAATGATAATTTCCAGATAATCACAGATCGAACATCACAAACTTTCTTAGAATATAACTTATTTCTAGGTAGATCCAATTTTTTTTCTTAATTTCTAAAGTATTAAATGTTGTACCACACATTATGCATAACATATACAAAATAACAAAGCAAAACATAAGAAACCATCGAACACCTGAGTAATAATGCTATAGTTATAGTGAAATAAATAATAAATAAAATATAAAATACGTATTATTCTAAGGAGCATCCCTACACAAAGTACCATTAATTTTTCACGAATTTTCCAATAAATTATCGACTTCCCCCCGTAACGAATCTCCCAGACCTAACTTGAATGCAAAAACTATTCTGGACTTTGCTGTAGGGTCAACTCTATCATTCTCAACCTTCAAAAAATCCCTACAAAGCATCATTAATGTTTCACGAATTTTCCAACAAATTATCGACTTTCCCCCGTAGTGACTCTCGCATATTTAACTTGACTGTATAAAAAACTTTTCTGAACTGTGCTTAAGGGTTAACTCTATCATCCTCAAATTTTAAAAAATCTCCACAAGGCATCATAAATTCCCCACAAATTTTCAAATAAATCATCGTTTTTTCCCGTAGTGACTTTCCCAGACCTAACTTAACTGGAGAAAATATCCTCGAATGTGTCTGAGGGTCATTTCTACAATTTTTGAATTCCAAAAATCCCCTGCATAATATAATAATTGTGTTTTATTCAATTTCGCGGTTTTTTAATTTTTCTTTTCAATAATTATCTGGTCGACTGTAATATACACGAATCTGAATATGAATTTGAAGCTGAACTTAAGCCATGTGAATGAGCCGACCTTATAATAAATGAGAAAAAGAAGATGTGTTTCATCGTTGATGTGCTCAAGCCGTCAGATTACAACATCAATAAAGAAGAAGCAGAAAGAGATACTAAATATAGAGACATGAAGAAAGAGATTCAAAGAATGTGGGAAAAGAAGACTAAAAGAATTCCAATAATAATAGAAGCTATTGGAGTTGGATTATGTTTACCTGGAAACCATCTGTTTCTTGTGTTGTTGTAAGTGTTCGGTGCCATTCAACTAAATGGTTATCAGGGCCGTAGAGCTCCTTATCCAATTCAATGACCAATGATTTGAAGAATGACGAAAATTTCCTTTTTACTTTATTCGGGTCATTTTTTGAATCATCCAGTAGCCTTCCCTCAACTGTCAGTTCCCAAGAAGCAACCAGTCTACACGTAAAAAAGGACGAAGTCATAAAAGCCTTGAAAGCAAACATAGAAATGTTAATTACCTTTCTGCTCCAGGCCCGTCTGGTCCATCAGGATAGGGTTCTTTGGCAGGATAAAACGTGTTGGAAATAAATATCCTTAATTTGCGTTTTTGTTTCATGGGCCTTTTCAAAGCTTCTTGTATGTCTAGACGTTTACGCATTATTGTGGCGTCAAGTTTTCGTTCAAAAGCTAGTAAGTCCATGTATGCTTGACTCTCAGCAGGAACCAAGTCTCGAACTTTTTGTGGGAGAATTTTGTCAGCTAGTTTCTTTTTCTTTTTACTAGTTATGTGACCATAGTCACTGAAAAAATAGGTAAGTGCATAAGTTTTTTATGCCACGGAAATTATCAATAACTCAATCAATAGAAAATCTTGGAAACATGGAAAATACTCATTAAAACAAACAGAAAATTCACCTTTTTTGTTGCATAGAATTACGGTTATCAGATGGTCGTTTCCCTCCAGGTTGATTTAATCGCATCTGGCCTCTCATTGGCGAATATTGAGCTAGCTCCCTGTTAAAATAACAAAAATCTGTAATTGCAAAAAGAAAATGTATTATTGTAAAAATTGTTGAGTTGGCAACGTTGTATATAGAATGTCAGTTGACAGTAGTTGTATTCTAGAAGAGAAAATGAGAAAATGAAAAATTGTTATAATAAATAGCACAACACTTTCCGCTTTTTACTACCCCACTGTTAAAATAAAAAATAAAAACTCATCAGGTTATGGGCCCAGTTACCCAAGGAGTAGTAAAAATCAGTAAAAGCAGGGAAGTTTGTTTGTGACTGCAAAAGTAAAATCCTAACCTGAAGGGTTAAATTTTAAAAGTAAAAAAAGTGAAAAAGTATGGCAGATGAAACTGTACAAATAGAAAAACTGTGTAGTGAGGACTCATACTACCAAATTTGGAATTTCCAATTAAATGTTGTTCTAAAAACCAGTGGTCTATACGAAGTCGTAAGTGGCCAAAGTCTCTTAGCAAATATGAGAGGCGAAAAAGAAAAAAGTGCATGGAAGAAAAAGGACGCTAAAGCCCAAAAATTGATATAGTAATGTCAATCGATAAAAAGTGGATGTTGCACATAATAAACTGTGAAACTTCACAAAGTATGTATGACAAACTTAGAGATATTTTCGAAAAATCAACGCAAGACCAAATTTGCATGTTATTACAACAGTTTTATAATTTTACGTTCGAGAAAAATAGCAACATGACTCTACACATCAGTAAAATTGAAAATTTGGCTCACAAACTTAAAACTTTAAACCAAACAATAGATGATAAAATGATTATTAGTAAAATCCTGTCGACGTTACCACCATCCCATTATAAATATTTTATAACTGCATGGGAACAGTCTACATCCATAACCGAAAGAACATTAACAAATCTTACAGCTAGACTGTTAGCAGAAGAAAACAGATCAAAAGACAAAGAATCTGAAGCAGTAGCTTTCAAAACTAATGAAAAATTTTGCTATAAATGCAAAAGTAAAAACATAACATGCTTCAATTGTAAAAAAACTGGACATTTTGCTAATGATTGTTTTTCAAGAGCAAAGCCAAGACAGTGTGAAATTTGCAAGAAAACAAATCATTCAGAGGAAGATTGTTACTTCAGAAATAAAAATAGACATGGACAAAATAACAAACAAGCAGGAAATTCAAAAGACGAAAGAAAAGTAGCTTTTTTGGTAGAAAATGAAAATAAAAACATCTGGAAGTTCAGCTCACATGGTAAAAGAAAAAAACCTATTTTCTACAATGCAAGAAATAAGTTTGAACATAATGGTAGCTAAAAAAGATGAAAATATGAAAGCACTAGGAAAAGGGAGTGTTGAAAGTACATCATGCATCTTAAAAAATGTACTATATGTGCCTGATTTGTCCAAAAACTTACTATCAGTAAACTCAATCACAGAAAATGAGTATATTTTTCAAAGGATAAAGTTATAATAATGAAGGACAACTTAGAAATAGTTAAAGGAAATAAAGAAAATGGCCTGTATGTTGTAAAACTAAACCAAGAAGATCAAGGACTTATGGTTGAAGAAAACAAAAACAATGGTAAAAATTGGCACAGAAAATTAGGTCATCCAGGAATTGTAAATATGAAAAAACTGTTTATGTTCAACTTGATACTGGTTCAATTGATTTTGTTCTGGATGGATTGGAAGAGAAATAATGATAGGACGACTTGAATGGACTTAAATTGAGGAATAGAATTTTTTAAATTGTGACAAATTTTATATTCTTTCTGACAAGTCTATTTTGATTGATATATGCCACCAACCTGCGGGTAGTGGCCAAAGCATTCTATAAATACAATATTAAACATTACTCCCCCTTTTGGAGGGTACCTTCAAACATGTGAAAATTAATAATGAGAACAAAAAATAAAACAGTATAAATAGTCTTTAAAACATATTTTCAATGTTTCGTTTCATCCTGAAGAGGAAGTGGACATAAATGACGAATTGATCTTGTAACATTTCCATTTTGTGTAAGGACCTCAGCTACTCTAGTTACACCATCTTTGCCTGGAAATTGACGTACTATACGACCAAGTGGCCATTTCAGTGGAGATTGTTTATCATTTTTCAGCAATACTAAAGTTCCGTCATGGATTTCGGTAGGCGCGTCTTTCCATTTATATTGTGTGTGAAACTGGGAAATGTAGTGTTTTGAGAATTGAGACCAAAATTGTTGAAATAATTTTTGAACATGTTGCAGCCGTGATAATCGATTAAATTGTATTTCTTTCAAATTGCATTCTGAAGGATGGTTTAGTTGGCGACCGATAAGAAAATGTGAAGGGGTTATAGGCACTAAATCATTAGGATCGGTTGACATGGCGAATAATGGTCTTGAATTTAAAATTCCTTCTACTTGAATTAGTAACATATTGAATTCTTCAAATGTTAAATTATTTTTGATAACTCGTTTCAAATGATGCTTAGCACTTTTGACAGCCGCTTCCCAAAGGCCACCAAAATTAGGGGCATAAGGTGGTATGAAAACCCAACGAATTTTATCGATACTAGTTCGATCCACAATAGAGTTTTGATTTTTATATAGAAAATTTCCAAAATCTTTTAACTCACTATTTGCTCCAACTGCCGTTATCAGAGTAAATAGTTGAAGGCAAACCTCTTCTCGAAGTGAATCTTTTTAAACACGCTAAGAAACATTCTGTCGTTAAATTAGAAACCACTTCTAAATGAATTGATTTTGTACAAAAACATACAAAGACTGCTAAATAACATTTAATTGGCCTCGCACCTCTACCGGCTTTATTTAGAATAAAAAATGGACCAGCATAATCCAGGCCAATGAAGGCTTTATTCGAATATCTGGCAAACTAGACATAGGCGAAGTAGGCTTGAATCTAAAGCAGGTCATGCAATTTTTTACAGTTTTTCTTGCCAAATTGCGACCTCCAATAGTCCAATAAAATTGTCTGATAGAGGCTAGTTATAATTGAGGACCTGGATGTAACAAATATAAATGCTTATTTCGAAAAATTAACTTCGTAAATGAATGTTTTGAAGAAAGTAAAATTGGGTGCTTAGTATCATAAGGTAAATAAGTATTTTTCAGACGACCACCCACACGTATAATACCTTGACTATCAATAAATGGAGTAAGGGATGAAAGCTTATGATTTTTTTCTAGAGTTTTATTTTTTGATAATAATTTTAGTTCTGTTACAAATGATTCAGCTTGAGCTAAACGTATTAAAACTTGGTTTGCTGATTCTAATTCATTAACAGTAATTGGACCAGTTTGTAATAAGATTTTTAAAATTGCTTCTCTTATTTTTTAAGTTTTTATAAAATCGAATACAAAGAGCTGTAATGCGTCTTAATTTATGTAAATCAGAGAATCTGTCGAATAATTCACAACATGAAACAATAATACTGTCACAATAAGCTAAACGTCCGCCAGGCTGTCAAGAATCGATCGCGGAAATACTAGAATCTACCGAATTATTCTACTTTAATCTGGAAAATTAGATTATCGTGTGTATTCTAGATTTCACAGGAATAGATTTAGGGATATATAAGAAGGCCGGCATTGGTTTGTAAGTTTAGTTTTCAGTTCGACTGTGATACGATTTAAATAGTGATTGTAAAGAGTTTAATTGTTGAGTTTGTTAATAAAGTAATTAGTGTCAGAGTGTTTTGTTAAGTGGAATAAATTATTGCTGTGTTAATTGGACTTTGATTTTTGGAATAAACGAAACGAACAACGAACCCAAAATTTTTGTCAGCAGGCAACCCAAAGCCGCGACATTGGTGCCAAGAAGTGGGATATAAAGGACTGCAGAGTGAAATCCAATTGCGGAAGTGTGGGGACACTAGTGTAGTGTAAAAACTGAACACTAAGTGAACACTGGGACAGTTAGTGCAGTGCAAACAGTGACAATCACAAAAAGAGACTCAACCGATCGTGTGAATTACCCCGGAAGTGACTCTATCCCCGATTTAGACTGTGATAGTGAATCTTCGAGTGAGTTCTAGAAAATTCTATTTGGAAACTAAGGGAGATATCGAATTTGTGACTTCGCCGACGCATTCGGAACATCAATCGTCATTCAGAAGAAGTTTTTCGAGGAGTTTCGGGAAAATTCTAGAACATTCTATTTGGAAACCAAGGGAGATATCGAAATTGTGACTTCACCAACGTGTTTGCTGTATCAATCGACATCTAGAAAAGAAGATTCAAGAAAATTCCAGAACATTCTATTCTAGAATAAGGCAAGTTATCCAATTTGTGACTTCACCGGCGTGTTTGGAACTTCGAGCAAAGACCAGAAAAGATATTTGAAGAAAGTTCGAGGGAAATTCTAGAACATTCTGTATATGCCTATCACAAGACAACAAGCCAAAATGGACGAACAAAAAGTTGAAGAACTCCTGCGCAAAATGTTGGAACTTCAAGAGACCAAACGACAACAAGAAAATCAAGACGAAGAAGCTAGACGACTACAAGAAAAACAAGACGAAGAAGCCAGACGACTACAAGAAAAACAAGACGAAGAAGCTAGACGACAACAAGAAGAGGCCAGACGACAAAAAGAAAAACAAGAAGAAGAAGCTAGGCGACAACAAGAACGGCAAGAAGACCTTGGAAAACTACAGAAGATATTCCAAACCATACAAGGAACTGTCGCTAACCTAGACCAGAAGATTGAAAAAGTTAAAGACGATGTGCAAGAAGTTAAACACGACGTTCAGGAAGTAAAAACTGAAGTCAAAATCGATGTTCAAGAAGTTAAAAACGACGTTCAGGGAGTTAAAGCTGAGGTCAAAGCCGATGTTCAGCAATTAAGACAAGAAGTTGAGGACCAAGTTCAAGCACTCGAAGATAAGATGCGTAGATTAGAAATACAGTCCATCAATCCAGCTAGTGTTGGAGCATTCTCCAGTATGAAGATAAAACCACCAACTTTCGACGGTTCTACGTCCTGGACCATGTATATTCGACAATTTGAAGCTGCTGCAAATACCAACGGATGGAACGACCAAG